AAAGGGTATAGTTGCTTAGTGGCAGCTCTGCATAGGGTTTTCTTTGTGTACTCAGATCCCAATTCAATTAAAAAAAAATAAAGTGGGAAAGAATAGGGGAGAGTATTATACACAGACCCCAAGGCTGTTCTTGTGAAAGCCAATCCCTGTACAATACTTAAGCCTCTGTTTCTAATACACTAAACACAGCTGACTTCAAAATTCAAACCATAATGCTGTTAAACTTTTTTTTCAGTGAACAATTCCTGATGCCTGAATATTTACATAAGGGGGAAAAATGTAAATGTTGCATTAAAGTTTGCAAGTTATAATTTGACAGGTTAAAGAAAAGTTTTTGCAGTACCCCAAGTAGCACATTATTTACAGACCTTTTTATTCCCAAATAAACCCCAATTCCTTATATTCGTCTAGCACCATAGTGGGGAAGAGAGAAAGGCCAGATTAATCATAAAAATATGCAGAAGATACTGGCTTGCTTTTTACATACAAGCTCCACCCATTAACAGCTTAGTAGTTCACATTTTAACCTATGCCAGCTCATCGTATATTGTATTTCAAAGAACTGCACACGACTTTTTAACAATCGACAATTCTGACAATCTGAAGGTAAAGTTACATTCTTTCAAATTAAGCTGTTTAAAATTAAGCCAGGATGTTCTCAGTCACAATACTCCCAGCTTCAGGGGTTTTTTACTGTTCTTTAGATGGATTATCTACCTTCCCATACAGAGGATTCCAATCCTACAGTTTTTTTTCAAAATTCTGTTATTTACCAGGAAATATTTTGAAAAAATATCCAGGAAATAGTTTTGCATAATGAACCATTAATACAACAAAATCACTAAGAACTACATAGACTATATATACGAATGAATTATGCATAGAAAACCGAGTTAGGGAGGTATATGCATTACCTACTTAAACTGTAAAATATCATTCATATTTAGGTTTATAAACACAAGGGTTGAGAACTACTGAGTTCTTTTGGCTAAAGCCCAATATTGGCCTTATTTCAGTTTAATTGGAAGAGGATCTTGAATTCATCTTCTCCATGAGATATCAGGAACCTGGATTTCTGTTTGTACCAAAGGTTAATAAGAAATGTGTCTGCAAAAGTCAAACAGCATTAAATACCAAAAACTGATTATTATTCTGCAGGAGTTGTTCTGTCATTCATAATCTCTCCATGCTCCAACCTTCCACAGCTAATCTTTAATGGATGACATGCAAGAAAGAAAAATAACATCTAAAAAGGGACTCTAAAGTGAGCTTTGAAGAAATGGAAAATACTTTTTTTCTGTGCTGGAAGTTATTGCCACCCAAAGTTTATTACTGGCAAGATTACTTATTTCCTCTTACTTAATGGGATATTAAATCAAACTAACTCTAAGTTAATAGCCACTTGGATATTTGTTTTCACTTTTGCTATTAAAACTATTGCCTATGCATTCAATAATTATTTTTCAGGTTGATTTTGGAAACTTCAAATAATGTTCATGAACGTTTCCATACCACATTCAAGAATTCTAAAATACCACAAATGTTAATTTTCAAAATTTTTGTAGAAACTGACCTGAAAACATGTACTTAATTATAGGTATATTGCCATAGTTTCCAAGAGTCTGAAAGCTGTATAATGTGCACAACAGTATTAAAAGTACTGCTTTCCCCTTTTTCCACACCATATTTCCTGTAATTACCCTCATCTTCCCGAGAGCATCTGCAGAATGCTCATACAGTTGTCAGGCAGTAAAGGCGGTGTGCAACACCTAACAGACCTAGCAGGGTTGGACTCAATCAGCTGACTGATTAAGAGTATTTCTATGGTATATCTTGTTGCAGTAACTTTTTTTTCCAGTTTAGAGAGGCTACCACTATGCTCTACAATTCTCACACTCAACCACCTCTTTTCCTCTAGAAGTTCCTATATACCCTGCGTATAATTCTTTTTTTAGGCAAAAATGAAGTCACTTATTACGTCCATCCAAAGTGAGATCTGTTCTCTTTGCCAGTTGTTTTGAAGACTTACTCCTTTGCAATGCCTCCATCCTTATTTTCCAGTCTGTCCTCAGAAGATGTGTGCTCCTTCTCCCTTTCCGCTCCCACAGAGTGCACCCATTCCCTTTTCTGCTCAACATCTGAAAGTTCTGCAGTCCCGCATTTCAAGATTTGCCTATTCTTCATGCTCAGTTCACATGTCATGTTCCCCTTTTTTCTTACATTATCCTAGTCTCAGTTCTTTCAAAATGTGCTCTTTCCTTGATTTTCTGTTCTTCTCTTTATGACGGGGAGTGAAACCCATGGTATTTTCTGACACTGATTTATGATGAGAGGATATTCAGCAGAAGAATAATGAAGAAAAAGCAGGAACCTGTGGCAACAATAGTCTCTGATGCTTAAAAGCCTGCAACCCAAACTGATAACTCCCTAGTTTTCCTCAGCCATAGCCACCTGACACAGAGATAGGGACCCAAGGAAGTTCTAAAATCCATTTTCCAGCTTAGTAAAACTTAAAAATAAAAACTTTCTGAAAATAAGTTATTTACCGCACACAATATTAAACATTCTATTCCGTCATGTTTATCTTCTGCCTTAACGCTACTTTTTCGTATTCTCTCATGAAGCATTTCACAAATTTACACTTATCCTCTTCACTTATTCATCTGAACAAAGTGAAAATCATAAAGCAACAAGCTTTGGTTTATTTGTTTCTGAAGACCGTTGTGGCTTCACTTTAAAATGGCCTTTGTCTGCAGCTTTTCTGTTCTTTCCATGGGACTTGTCTAGGTAAAACCCGTCAATTAGAGGGTTACATTTGAAAACTGAATTGTAGTATTCCTCAAAGTAGATAACATTTCTGATGTTTTTTACAATATAATTTTGTGGAGTCATTTTCTTATCATAAAGTCAGTACTAAGTAATAATAAAAATCCAAACACCCATTTACAAGCTTCACTCTACCATGTGTTATACGCTGCAGTAATTAAACATTAACTAGCAGCACGAAATCACAGCAGCTTGTGTTCCCCTTTCCTCAAAGGACTTAACACAGGAGAAAAAGTTTTTCTTAAACACACTGAGTTTTCTTTATTAGGTTCAGCTTGTCCATTAGAACTCTCCCCAAGGCTTTTATGAGTAAGAGACACATAGACCTCCCAAACTTTGGTTCACATCATTCCAAAGTTCAAAACATTTATCCAAAGTTGACAACATTCTTAGAACTGTAAGACAGGAAGCAAAAAAACCATGAAATATTAACGATGCTGCCTTTTTGCAAATAGCTTAAGTAGTAAGGAGCCTCTTGCCCTCTCTCTCTGCATTTAAAGGATTTTATGTTTCCTGAACTTGTAAAAGGAGAAAAAATGGTATTTTTTTTAAAGGTCGTCCTTATAACACATTGTAGTTCTCATTAAAATTTGGTTTATTCTTCCTTTTAAAATGGAATGACTACCTTAGTTATTATAGTCATATTCATGACATACTGTTTTGAAGATATTAATATGCATAGAAAATAATTAGAAAGTTTAAACAGTAATATATAAAAAATAATTTACTAACACATATTTCAACTGTATCCATAAAAATGAAACTAAACATGTTTTTGACACACCTTCTGACACACATTTCTTTCCAGGTTTTAACAAGCAATGAACACCTATATCAAAGAGAATATTTCTCTATTATAGGTACAGAGGTAAATCACTGTGCAAATATCCAGGAACAAACACAAAACTTGGGATTCAACCCAAACAATTTGCATTAGATTTCGCCTGCTGGATATAACTATGATACGCAGTGTAGATATTTTTTTCTTCTGAAAATAAAGCAAGCAGTTTATGTAAAATGACATAATAAAATTATACCTACATTTCAATTTTTTTTCTAAGATGTAGATTAGATTTGTTTTTCCTTTCCTCTACCACAGAAAATTTAAGAACTCTCTTTTCCATCTATAACATAGACAGAATACTGTATTCTCAGGAGTTTGAGATTAAGTGGAAAGTCATCCACCTGTGTTTTCATCTAGAGAGTTTATTTTCTGCTCAATTTCCCTGAACACAGCTACACTTCCCATCAGTACCAATAGTTTGGGGACAGGTATTAATATTATTAATACTATATGAAGCATGCATGGTCTATGAGGACACAATTTTACCTAGCTTACACTTTATTTATGAAGAAAGGATACAATGAGTTTTTAGAATCATAGAACTGTCTAGGTTGCAAGAGACCTAAAAGCAGTCCCATGAATTTCTTTGAAACACTTGGAGAAAAACCTCAGAGTATTTTTCATCCACTGGGTACATTGCACACACAGTCACTTTTCAATAACAAAAACACTCAGCTTCATTACTTTAGAAATTTCCAAAACTGTGGAGTACAAACTGTCTCCAATTTTGCATGTCTACCTGAACAAACATAAGCATTCACTCGCTTTCAACTATAAACTTAAACCCCTTTCATTTTGGGAATTTGTATATACTTCATTTACTGAAGACATACCATCATCAGACAAAAATTTGTTAACTCCAAAAGAACAGATTTTTCAAGAAAAGTGCAGGTGTCTAGTTGAGGTGAATGTGCGACTATCTCCATACACGGGGAGGGGGTAGTATTGCTCTGAACGAGCTAAAACAATAAGTGGTATTTGAACTGCTGGTTGAAAGGTAGAGGCACTGGTAATCATTATTTCCCCTTGTTTGTTCAGGACCTTCCAACAAAACAAACAACCTTTTTGTGATTGGATTGACATGGTGTTAACAATGCATTTAATGCCCAAATCAGTATGAATACAGGTAAAGCTCCTGCTAATACCAGTACCAGGATGTTAAAGCCACCTATTTTCTAAGCAACTCTAAACAGCCACACATAAAAAAAAAAAAAAGTCAAATCTTCCCTCCTTTAGCAAATAAAGCTAACATTCACTAGGCCACGTCATATAGCAACCGCGGGTACTGTATGAGCCATACAGCCATCTGTTAAACGCTTGCCTACCGTACCTGCAATCTTTTCGGCAATCTTAGCTTCTGCAGCTCTCTCTTGCAGTTCTAAGTCCAGTTTTATTGTCTTCAGCTCCTTGTCCTTTTCAGACAGCTTATCTTGAAGCTGAATTGAACAAATGGACAGTGAGATTCCTATTGAGCTGAAACAGTCAACCAGCTATTTTAACCACAACAAAACTCCAAATAATCGCTTCTTACCCCCCAAAATACAAACAATAAGCAATACAACAGAAGTTCAATTAATTATATTTATTTATTTAAAGGAAAAATGTTAAAATATATTTTTCATCATTGTCCCTATCTTGTTCTATGAGACAAACAGCAATCTGTGTGCTATCATTTTAATTTAGGATTCTCATCTTCAGGTATCACCACCTGTGGTCCTTCTCGCTGAGAAATTTCAGAATTACATGGAATATAATGCAGGTGTGCCTATTTCCTACCAAGAGTACTGACATCACAGCCTGAAGAGACTGTGGTGTAAATGCACCATTTTTCATGTGCATTGCCAGACGGAAAACTGGTATTCTTTCACATGTTGAGGCCTTTCTTTTTACTGGGAATTCACTAAATCTGTTCTTGGACAGATATCTGAGCTTGCTATCGAATATACAATGACACTTAATGGAAAGACTACAGACTTCTCTGTGGTTTAGGTGCATGCGGCCATTACCAACACTAGAAGGAATGAGGGGTACAAGTAGGATGGAATTTTCTTCCCCTCAACAAAGAGGAGGTATGAGGGCACATTCATTATCTGAATCACATGTACAGAAGCATGAGCTCCAGATTTCATTCATGAAATCACGTCTCGGTTTTGGTCCTCCTTGGTTTTCACCCATGACGCAAGAACCCACGTCACTGATTAAAAAGGTCAAAGGGTAGGCTGAAAGATTTTTTTTAATTCCAGAAAAGCAGTTGTTAAGTAGATACTAAGAATCCAAAATGACAAGAAAGCTATTGATTGGTCCACTAAAATAAATAACAAAACTAAATTAGAAACAGTTTAAAATGTATGTTTTGTAAGACAACCATAAAAGAGCAAATACTGTGATCTGAATATCTCAATTGTACCTTTTTATTTTTGGCCCTCAGAGTGTCCAATTCTTTTAAAAGGAATGCAGTTTCTGTTTTTCCACCTAAATCTGCAGCATCCTTCCGTGAGGACATAAATTCAGGGAACATCCTGTTAACCTTTCTTTCTACAGTGCTGTGTTTAGGAGGAAAAAAAACAAAGAAAGAAAAATAATGCAAATCAGTTCTCCCCTCCACCCCTCGTAGAAATAAAATACACAGATATAAATTATCAAAACTCATTAACCATTGTAAATGTATTAAATAGCAAGTAAAAGGGATGTGCTTCTATCACTTCTTAAATCTGGAATTCTGAAAAAAATCTGTACTTTTGGCATAGTGAATAAATATACTACAGTACTAAGGCATAAACCAGATGAATATAAATTGACTATGAAGCCTATAAACAGAAAATGCTTAAGGAAAGCAAATATTAAAAACCCTGTACTTCACATGGAGTGACAACATAATGAAACATTTGGGGATCGAATTGATGCTCATGTTAGAAGAAACCAGATTCTTTGGTAGGATGGACAATTCCACATGAAGTGAAATGAGAATATCAAGAAGACAAGATATAGGAGTTCATCTTGAAGAAATCTGTATTTCTAAATGTTTTTCTAAATACTGTAACAGACAACAGGAATTCCATACTGTATACCAGTCATAGAGTTTTAAGATAACTTATTTAGCTATAGACAGGAAAAAATATGACAAGATTCAATGGCCACAAAAATTTTGTCTCAAGGTAAGGCTTTTCTAATACTTCTTGGCTATCTGTTGATACTCACACATAACTGAGATCTCATTTTTAAGATGGCAGCAAAATCAGTAGATGAATAGATAAGAAGGAAGGTTAGCAAATATTTTTAACATTCATTTAACTTTTTTGTTTATAGGTTTCATAGGCAATGAGTCATAAGAAGCCACAGAAAAGCTATACCTTCTGAACTCTTATTTCTACTGTATACATTACTTTCCTTATGTGTAATTCACATCCTAGAAAGAAAAGGAAAGCTATCTGTTGCTCCAAAGAGTCATTCTCTTATGTAGACAGTTTGTACTCAGCTGCCCCTTTCTTCACCTGCTTCCTTTGGATTTATTTTCTTTATGGTTCTTAAAGAAGGAAGTTAAGATCTGTAGTCTGCAGGCAAACTATGGTGCAACCTAAAGCACATCAAACAGCAGGGAAGATTCACATTGAAAAAGGGCTTAGTGTATTACACTATACATGGGGTGGAAGAGTGCTTAAACTGTTTGTCTTCACTTTCAAGATCCTTCAAAGCCTATTTCCTCTTTGTTCTGTCCAACATATTAATTTAGTATTGTTTCAGACTGCAAGTAGTGGATGCCTCTGGATTCTATTGCCCAGACATTACAAACCTCAAGCTTTTTTTGTGCATTTTGCGTGTTGGGGAGAGGCTTCTCATGAACAAGTTTGAATATACTTCTTCAGCATCATCTTTTAATCCCTCAGATGTTTTCTTCCTGATGTCTAAAAGGAGACTTGATGATTCACATTGATGGTACCATTCTCTGCAGACTCGACATTTTCTGGGTTGATCTATATCAAGATATTTTCTCATCTCATATTCTAATTGCAATCCATTTGGGATTTTGTGCAGTTTATATCGTATCTACCAAAATGAGTTTTTGGCCAATAGCTTTAGGATCCTACATGTAATACATTGGCAGATGAGATGGTTCAACATGCTGGTTGGTGTGAAAGGTCAATCTCAGTGTTCAAGACAAGCCTGACTGCAAGTGTGAGTGGCACTGGTGAAGGGCTGGAGCAACAACCTTTGGCTAACTCCTGCTGGGCTATACTTAAGCACGCAGCATTATAGTTGGCTTTTAGTGCACGATGCATTGCCCTAACAGCATATCTCAAGCCCCAGTGCAAAATAAAAAGGCAACAAGACAGACAGAAAAGTACTGTGGACTGATTTTGGCCCAATAGGTCACCACTAGATTATACTAAAGATAACAAAACCAGGTATGGAATCTGCCAGACAGTGAAGAATTAGAGTATATTTTTCAAAGTACATAATAGGGCTTTGCAGACTTGATCCCATATTCAAAAGCAAATCTATTACTCTTACTTAAGACTTGGGCTTCAGAATGCCAAAGTCAGTCCAAACTGGTAGCATGTTCCCTAGTCAGCTGGGTATACCTTCATATATGATGTCACAGACAGCATGAGTGTATATGTATCTCAAGACTGCAGTAGAGGGCCGTAGCTTATTACAGAAATTAATGACAATAAATGACCAAAAGCAATGACAGAATAGAATCTTCAGAGTTTGTATTACACTTTTCATCCATATTTACCCTTCTCCAGACTGCTGTCACATACTGCTTTCAAGGTATTACAGCTCCTTTTCTTCACTCTTCCAACTTCATCCAGACTTCACTCTACTTTATTCCTACTTCCTAGCCGCTTCATTCCTGCTTCCTACTCAGTTATCATACTTAGTGTACACTGTGCTTGTTGTATAAAGCCACAGATACTACTAAACTTTTAGATCATCTTTTCTAATTCTGTTCAGTATACATTTTTAAAATTCTCTGTAGAAACCACAGTCATTGAAATACCCACAGTGTGTCACATAAGCCGTTGCATGATCATATTTTCTATCAGTGCTAGAGAATACAGTGATTAAATGCTGCAGTCCACAAGGAAAGAAGGGCAGGTATGTAAAAAGATGACCAGTTCTCAGTTGGAAAGTCAACTTCCCTATCTTTATCCAAAAATCCATATGTATGTTATCTGTAATTTGAATCCAGAAAAACTATAAAGGGATATTTGGTTTTACCTGAGTTCTTCAGGACTGGAATTGTAATCATTTGGGGCTCCTCCTCTTTGACTGGTTACTGGCAAATCTGAAAGTTTCCATGCTTCTGTGTTTTTTTGAGAATTCTGAGGAAACTGAAGCTCAGCCCACAAGTCTTCTTTTTTCCGTTCCAGAGTGTGTGTTTCTATTTGGAAACAGAAGCAAACATTTTTTTCATTTTGGAGATTTCTCATTTGAAAATGGCTTGCTGTGTTCCTATTTGAAAAAATGGAGAAAATACTCGTTTCAGATTTGCAGCTTCCTCATCCCACTAAGGAATGAGAGCTGTGTTACCTACAGCACAGACGTAGCAGTTACAATCTATTTACTGGATTTTTCTCACCATTTCCTAATCCCTCTTCCTCTTAAATGACTGCTTAACATAATGCTGACCCCAGGAAATTACCTACCTATCTTTTGTAAAAATCAGCTCTACCTCAGTGAGAAATGATGAATTTCTGTTAAAAGGTAGGGAAATTTGCGGGTTTTGAGCTAGATTCTTACTTATACTGACGTCTTTTTCAAATCCATTTTGGTTACAAAAGGAGTATCAGCAGGCTGTAATTAGCAACAACAAATTTAAGGCCCCATTATTCCCTCCTGGAGAGCGTAAGGTACAGGCTCATACAACTAAAGAACTTGAAGAATGCAAAACACAGATTGTGCCAAAGAGAAAAATTATCTGATTAAAATGTTGAGTGTGATAGTTCTCTTAAGCTCGGCTACTAGATAATTTTAGGACATATTTCTGATATCAAGTTATTTAAATGAAAGAAAGATCTACATACCATGAATGTTATTTCATGAAGTAGGAACAAGAAAGTTTTAATTATAGAACTATATTAAAAAATGAGGAGGAAGAAGCCTAAAGAAGCTGCAAATAGAAAAAAGTGCATATTTATTTCATTCTTTCATTTAGATTAGTAGAGAACAAACACTGGAGCTTTTTCTCATTTAATAAAGTTAGCATTTCCAAACATTTTGGATAAATTAGATAGTATACATTCTCTGATGCAACTTAAATCCTCTTCAAAAATACCGAGACACTGTTCTAGTAGCAATCATCTACAAATAGCCCCAAAAAAGACATCAACCAGTATCAAGGTGCTATGTTGCACGTAAGCCACAAAAGCACAGATTCCAAGTCAAAAATACTAAAAACTGCCTCTAAAGTCTGCTGCAATAGATTCCTTTCCTTGAAGAAGGAAAGACATAGCCAATGACAGAGGAAACATCCTGATGGCATAAAGATGACTTCTGGATTGGCTGGAGTCAGTTTAACAAGTTCCCATACAAAGCCATGTGTTACTGCCTTAAGGAAAAGGCTATTGTATCTGCTGTTCATCTGTATTATTCTTTCCTAGTTCAGCACAAATCCACTTGAATCCACTGTCACCATTCCTCTAAACTATATCCACTGACTTTTGTACTAGAAAAACAGTCAACAGTGTACCAGAATCTCTGTTTCTGAGCAGTAATAAACATGTGGGGACCCTAATTTGACAAAAAAAAATAAATCATTAACAAATATAACTGTGATTAACTTTCAGTACTGTGATCGAAATGTGTTCCTTGGATAATTTCACAGCTAATGCAGAAATTGAACACAGCCCACAGACACCTGGATTCTTTGAGCAAAAGTCTGCTGTTGTTCACTGGCTTGAAATCCTGCAGGTTTTTAAGCAGAGATTTCCTTTTGAGCGCTGCTACATCTTAAAACTGGTTTGAACCTCCTGCTCCTCCTAACTGTAAGAAGGATCTCTAAAGAAACAGGCATTAAAAAATTCCCTGTGTATACTCTAAGAACCTGCTCCAACCTGGGAGGGGCAACACATAAGGGTATAATTTGGAATCCTTTCCAGTACTATCTGAAAACTAACATAGTCTTAATTTCAATACTTGCAAAGCTTCTTCTAGGGAAACATACACTTGGTTGAGATTTGTTTCCCATTTGATTTATGTTATAAAGAACTGCCTGTCAAACATCATCCTGTCCAGTTCTCCCATTTCAGATGCAATGATCTGTATCTATATATTTGCAAATTGTGCTCTCACACACTGAAGGGGAAGTGAAAGGCTTCACTTGTCATAACTTTTCTTCCCATTCATCTCTAGGGCATCAACATTTTCTATAAGCCATATATATTTGAAGTGCCTCAGGCAAAGTGTGTTGCATTCTGTGAAAGAATTCAAGCACAACGTTAGCTGTTGCAATAACCAGTGATTGTATTGGCATGAATGTTTGTTCCTTCTTTAGCATTACTGCACTCTCCTTTGGCCTGTACTATGTGAAAGTTGGAGAAGAAAACCCTTCTCACTCCAGAATGCTAGGAAGACTAGATGATGTCAGCTACAACAGTTACACTGGGACAAATCAAAAAAGGGATTCTATCCCTTTAACATAAGAGTAACCAACTGAATAACAACTTCTTTTCATAATTCGTTTTCAAATGTAAATCTTTTAGTGCCAGGAGTTTAAAAAGAGTTCACAGAGGCATATTGCTGGCTTATGCTCTTCCTTTGTGTCAGGAAGTTGTCATCAGCCTACTCCAGAAATTTCCTGGATCACTTGTGCCCTGTTGTTGTCCGTCCAGTAGATTATCAGCCTCGTAGTCCCTCATGAGGACCAGGACCTGTGAACGTGACGCTTCTTCTGGTTGTCTGAAGAAGGCCTCATCTACTTCAATCAATCTTCCTCCATGCCCTTCCCTCTTACTGGCAGAATCAAGGATAATACCACCTGGATCCCCATGGCCTTGACCATCACCCCCAGAGCCATATCGTCACATATAATACTTCCCAGGTCATCCCAACAGCATCACTAGTGTCTATGTGGAAGAGCAGCAGGGTGTAACAGAGGGTCAGATCAGCCTCAGCAGCCTCTCTAGAACATCCTGAATATGAGCTCCCAACAAGCAACAAAGATCTCTAGATGACAGGTCAAGTCAGCAGACAGACTTTTTAAATCCTTTTTTTTAAAAAACAGAATGAAGTCAACATGTCTGCACGATGCATTAGCTGCTGAACTTCAGGTTAAATCTTTGGCTGATGTCAAGATGTGGATTTTTAGGCTTTCAACTGTAAGTTACAGCAGCTGGAAAAAATAGAATTTAGAATGGGACTAGACCTGTGTTGGCATTTATTAATGCTAATGCTGCTGCTTTAAGCAAGTTACATTTGCAGCACACCTTTTCATCCGGATTCAATTCCCTCAAGCACGTGGGTAAGACTAAGCAGTATCACAGCAAGCCTGTAAGTGTCATTCCTGGAAATGTTAGGCAAAACACAGAGGATCTGGTTTTTTCCCCTGCTGGCTTTGTAAGAGAGAAGATGATGGCAGCCTCCTCCACTCAGAATTGGAAGCATTCTGCCCAAGGGCATTAAGATTAGAGGTTTTACTTGTTTAATAAAGTTGTAATGCATTTTTTTTTGGTCAACATGCTAAACCTATCAGTAGAATGCTTTGGGGAAGACGTTTTGAACACTGTCAGATCAATGGGAATAGCTATTTTTTTATTTTTAAAAACACTTTATTCTTCATATAGTCCATGACCCCCACCCCAAAGTTGTTTAGGCCTTGGTACATAGTAGCTTGTCTTGCTGCTAAACTAAGTAGCAATATTAATCAATGCATTTCAGCAGTTTTTCTCATGCCTCCTGCAAATTGTATTGTGCACTAATTACCAATGCTGCAGAGACACACTGGGGAGTAAGTAGCATTTGCAATAATCAGGCTGCACAAGGAACATCAGAGAAAGGGTAAAACAGCTTTGGAAAAAAAGCTGTAGTTTTCATTAAGTGATATCACCACCATTGATTCTGGTTCTTGAGTATACTAAACAACTTATTTTCCATATAAAAGAAAAAGTTCAGTAGCCCAGATTAATATTTCACTATAGGGAGAAGACGAACAGCTGATCTTCTGTATGTATTTATCTTGAATGAATAGCTTGTTCACATTGAGGGAAAGAAAAGCAAATGTTAGGAAGAAGGAATATAAAGACACTAGAATTAAAGCTGGGAATTGATTGCGAGGGACGTAAGGGGAAGATAATGCTGTCATGGCTTGAAATAGTAAAGACAGAACTGAATTCAATGTCGTTAAGCTGGGAGCGGTTAAAAAGTTGACTAAAATATTGAACCTAACCCAATTTGCAGGCAGCCTCTATTTCTTGTAGCTGCTTCTTAGAAATAGGGGAATTGGCACCGAGATCAGGGAAAGCACAGCATAGAGAATCCTCTACTGACACTGATAATATGGACAGAAGCGTTGAAGATGTAAGTTCACAGAAGGTGCATATCCACCTGGAAGGCTAAAAAGGCAGTAGCTTCCCTTGTTACACCACTCAGCGTATTCAGCAGTCCCGTCATCCAGCAGAAGCTGGGTGGGCACCTCCTTCCCCCTGTCGCAGTCTTTCAGCACCCCGCTAGCCAAATTGCGCTGATCAGCTCAGAGGTTTGCAGGGAATCTCTGTGGAATAACAGTAAAGGAAAACAAACAAAAACCAATGGAACATGCATGCAGCACCACAAAATATACTGTTGGCTACAGATCTGCCTGCAGATGAGTATGGGGACATTGGAAGCCCTTGGTGCTCCAAACCAGCTGCAAGCGGAAAAGTATTTACCACTTGCTACCTATAGCTTTCCAAGCTGGTCTGTAGCACAGGCAAAGCATGTTCTCATCTGTCTGCATAAGACTGCATGAATGAATGCCTAGAAGGATAGCAGTAAGAGGCAGAACAGGAAAAAGAGCAAAACCAAAAAGGAAGAGAATGAGCCATACGCACTCTGGGAGTGACTGCAAACTCAATAGCTTACTCTTCCTACGTGACACTGTCAGATCAAAGGCATTTGGAAAAATTGCAGAACAAAACATTGTGCTACATTTGAGGAATTAACTACAACCACAACTACTAAAAGCCCCAAAAATTCAGTTATTGACAAACTACTCAGTCAAAACAACAATGGAATTTCAACTTCTACAGGGGTGTTTTTGTGTGTGTTTGTACAATACCAAAAACTGAATTTCAGACAGCAAGAGGGAATATTCGCTATCCATGAAAACTATCACAGGAAAAAACGACCCTTTCCCTATACCAAACTCATCTATTCCCACTGGAATAAAAGGACACACTTACCACA